CCCCCTCATATCACCCGCTCTCCCAGCAGTCTTTTCCTGTCCACCGCCCGCCGTCTCCGCCTTTCCGCCGGCCGTTTGCGGCCACTCCTCCGCTGCCTCGGGCCATACCGGCGACACATTCCCCGCCTTGCCGGCTCTCCGCACCGCCATTCTGCAAGCTGTGATCAAACAAAGGTGGCAGCGTGCCCCTGCCACATTTGTATGCTCGGCACCTCCGGTGACAGGCAGCGCCGGCTCGGCTGGCCGGCCGAGACGCACTAATCGACCGCTAATTGGCTGAGCGATCCCGCGAACGCCGGGGTAAACCCTCGTGACCCGCGTGCTGCCCTCAGGGCGTGCACAATACCGCGCCAAGCGGTGACCTCCAGCCGGATAAACGCGCAGTTTTTCTAGCCCCAGCGCGCACATTTCGACATAAACAGCGTGCTCGCAACGGTTTGGAGGCTTTTTGCGAACATGCAGCTGAATGTGCGTCGTGCCGATTGTCGGGCTTGGCTGCGCTTTGGTCAGCCGAGAGAGACTGGACGAGCTGTTTTCGGATGCTGCTCGCGATGCTCAGGTACCTACGGTGCTCGGTCCTGCAAATGTTCCGCCCCCTCCTAGGACCGGCTAGCTGATAGCGCAGGTGGAGTGCCGCCTTACCTGTGGGCCCGTGTCATAACCACACCGGACGTAGCCATACGTATTTTTAACTGACGCACTGTAAAACAATGCAAGATGAAAGTTGGTTCAAGGCCTCAAAGTGACAGGCAAAGGTGTTCAGCTGTAGTGTTCTGCTGAGTCACGAATCGTCCGTCGTGAATGATCTGATATATTTGGTCCGTCAACAGAAACTAGTTCCAAATTAGACAAATTTGAGTCGATGGTGCGGCCATGCAACCGTCGATCTTCGTGAACCGGGAAAGTGTCGACTGTCCATGATGTATGATGGCCGAAATGCTCTTTAACCATCGCGCGGTCGATCTCATCGATCTCAATAGCTCGAGTCGTTCTCATGAGGAGCGTCCAGTGCCATTGCTACCGTGCAGCGTGCACGCTCTCCAGTGATCTCGCCTTGACACCGTCAGTGCCGCTGCGGCCGAGTCTCCTGCATGCAGGCTAGCTTTGGTCACTGTGGGCGTGATGGGCACGATTGGCTCTACGTCGATTGTGCTCTGACATGAGCTGGCTGACTTCGCTGAGCTGCTGCTGTTGTGACCAAGACACCCTCTCGAGGTCGTGGAAGGCCGCGGCGGTACAGCCCCAGTTCCCACGGACCTTTTTGTTGAGATCTGTCAGCGAGGCACCTCCAAGAAAAAGTGACGGATGGGAGGATGAGAGGAGGAGAGAAGAGGGAAAGTGTGTGGCGAACGTGAGCGCGCAAAATCAAAACAGAGTTTCGTGGATGGTTTATGAAACCGATTACGTTTTGACTTGTGCCGATTTGAGAGGGCCTGAATAAGAGTCTGGCGGTAGGAGAGAGCGGTTTGGCCAGCGTCCTGCATAAGCAGCTTTGCAGGAATGCCGCGGCTGGCGATCGGCGCCGCACGGTCGACAGCGAGTGGTTTTTGCGCGCCGCTCAAAATCGCCTGTCATGAATTCCAATTGTGTGTCGAGGTGTCTGGCCGGCCGACTGGAGCGCGAGAGAGGGTGAGCCGTCAGCTCTGAGCCGCGCCGTGACCCCGGCCCCGTCAGCCAGCCGACGCAGCCGATCGGCCGACCTGTTGACACACTGATCCGACTGCTGAGGACTGCTGAGCAGCCGCGCAGCCGCAGGCGGTCGCAGGAGAACGCAGGCGGACGGAGACGGACGCAGGGGACACAGACGGACGGACGGACGGACGCACGGCAGTGCAGGTGGTGAAGACCCCAATGCACGCCGGAGGTTACAGGATTTTGAAGAAGACGAGCCGACATTCCTCTGAATGCAGATGCGTGGTGACGAACTGCCGGTCTTTTCTTTCCCACGTATTCTCCTTCCAGGGCATATCTCGGTACGCGTGTTTTGTTATGATAGACGTATCAATTTATCATTTACTCTCGCTCCTTTTCAGATTTCGTTTGCGCTCGCCTTTTCACTGTCTGAGGGTGATCTAGAAATAACAAATACCCGGGCGGGGCGGCAGATGTTTCCGGTTTTCTCAGAGGCCTTACATAGTCAGCGAGCACCTCTGTGAATCGCTCAACCGGAAGGGACGGCGTATATAAAGGGATCATTAAGATGAATGGCTCACCAAACAGAACAGGTGGCCCCAGAAACTCGTTATACCAACAAAGCGGAGCCGGCTGCCGACAAAGAGTCGCCCGGTCGCGGATGAATTTTCTACCTTCGTGCATTGGGAAAGAAGATCTGGTGTGATTCGAGCCTACCGCTGTGCTTCGCTATAGACGATGTTCGATGATATGAACGGTGGAGAAACGGTCACGCTGATTCTATCGACCCATCGGCGTCGCTTGGACCGCACATCATTTTCCCGGCCTACTGCTGTCTCTGTGCTGCTCAGTATACAGTTTCATGCATTGAGAGGCACGAAAACAATTATCTGATGCCGGTCAGTGGTCTGCAAAGGTACCGGAGTCGGCGCCGGTCGACTGGGGGATATATTGCCGGCATTTTATTCCGACGGCCCAGTGTGATGTGGTCACGGGTATCCACTACCGATTTGTACTTGTCAGCCGCGGCGCCAACAGGTGCCCTGCCTAGCGCCTACTGCTCTCATCCGTCTGACGACGGAGCCGTATTCGGCAGGGCCACTTTTTCGAAGATGCATAGTTAATTGCAGTATTGCACAGTGAATCATTGGCCTTGTTTCGAATATCGCCTCACAGACCATCTGTGTGCTCATTCTTGTCTTGATGTACCGCCCCGCTGAGAGCCTTGCGCCTGAAGGTGTCTTTCAAAACAATGCGTGCTTATTTTTACGACACTACCGACCACGTTCCTTACAGACGTCGTCAGTCACGGTAACCAGAGAGGGCGCAGTAAAAGGCACGGCGCCGCGCCTGCTCACCATGGCCCACTGCCGGCACATGACCGATTCGATGGTCCGAAATTGGCGTAACTCATCCTCTAAATGACGCCCCGTCGGCTGATCGGAATCGAAACGAACCGCGCCGCTGGACCGCGGTCAGATGTTGCATTCGCCGGCCAGAGTTATGTGCGACCACCGCCGCCGCTCCTGCTGCCTCCTGAGTCGGTGCTCCATTACACCGTGGCACGTTTAGCGCAGGTGTTCGGCGTCTTCAAATGCCGGCTGTTGTGACGCTCCTCCACACTTTGATCTTGCAGTGTGCGGTTTAGCGATGGTCCACTGGCTGGCTTCGGCAGATGAGCGGTTCCACACTGAGCTGAGGTGCTTCAGTCTGTGCAGAATGCCGCCCTGTTACGGCTTTCATCCGAGACCGAAACTCACGGCGGTTGACAACCGCAGACATTCCTCTGCGCTTCAGCGAAGGGCTAGACGTCTTCAAAGCGATTCGTCCGCCATTTCACAAGTCCTGGAACTACCTGCGCTTGCCGTTTATGGCACGAAGACACTGTTGCCGACTCCGCTCACCTCAACTCCTGCTCGTCCGCGGCAGTGACTCGTTAGGGTATCTGTTCAGGCATGTACGGAGTCCACCTCAAACAGCTATCGATGCCACAACTCTACTCCTTCATGCAGTCTTTGTCCGACTTTGCATTGGAGAACGACCTGGTGATGGGCTGATACATGCTCTTCTACTTGCTGTTGACCCTCGACAAATGTGTCTGCATTTATGTATTAATACGCGCTCATGTTCTGGGTGCAGGGAGGGTTGGGCGGAGTGGTGGACGCCAGATGACCTCCATTTGTCGTCTGAGCTCTGCCGACTGGCGCCTGCCGGGTCTCATGGCGCTGCGGCCGACCGACCGGCCCAAGGTGCCGCTCATTGCCCAGCATGATAGTGCGATTAGACGGCGCCGCGCTCAGCTTCCTGGATAGCGGCGGTTGGCGAGAGACCGGTGGATGATGAACGATCCTCAGAGGAAAGTAGTGGATAGTGGTTAGCGGAGGGCGGTGGATGGTGGCTAGCGGAGGTTGGGTAGCGGAGCGGAGAACAGAGACCAGCGGACGGCCGTTTGCGGTCAGCGGAGAGCAGTAGCGGTCGTTCGGTCAGCGGTCCGAAGATTGGCAGTTGCTATTGAGGAGCGGCTACTGCTTCTTGCCGGCAACTAGCACGGTTGTAAACCGTATGATGTTTCTTGGATGGGATGAAGGCTGTTTTGAAATAATTGTCACGCCATCTGTTGAGTCTAACCAGCTGACGGTCGGGTATTCGACCTTCAGGTCAGGCCTTGCCCGAGGCGACTGGCTTCCGCTGCTAAACAATGCAACGCTGGAGGCTGATAAAGGCTGGCCTCTAGTTCTGAATGTTGCTATTTAAAGGCATGCACGAGCCTTGAGCTTGCAATATAATAGGACTTCTGCAAGTAGTTATTGGAACCAAATAAAACTACAGATTTGATAATCCCTTTATTCATCAATCCCATCCTCTACCCCTCCATCCTCGCACTCTTATTGCTCCCTCTCTACCCCAGTTCCTCTCAGTCCACCGGAATCCCAAGCTCCCACGCCGCCGCAGCCTCCCTCCCCGCCCCGCCCCGCCTCCCGCTCGGCCGCCTCTGACCTGCCAATGAATGGGTTGCGTGCCGGTCGGCGGCTTCCGACCGCGTCACGCCTCTGATAACGGCCCGGATGCTGCCAGTGGCCGCCCCCGGCTCTGCCCGCAGCACCCGCCGGCCGGCCGCTCCTCTCACTGTGGGAAGACACGAGCCGGCGGTAATTGGTCCGACCGGGGAGGAGACCGACCAAGTGGGCAGTTAGCGGCGGCCGGCGCGCTCGTGGTCCGGCGCACTGCTGATTGCGCGAGGCCGGTGATTGTATCGCATCAATGAGCGTCATAATTTACCCGATACGATTATAGAAAGGCTGATAACTGTCGGCGGACGGTCGGTGGGCTCTGTTAATAATGGGTGCCGTGGCTCTTCTTCGTTTCAGGCGCCTCACATGCGGGCGGGATGTGGCTGCTGTTGAGGCTATTGTGCTGCTGCTTGGCACTGGAGGCCGTCACTCTCGCTGCCCCAGGTGAGTCCGTGAAGCGACGTCATGTCTGACGTCACGGGGGGGGGGAGGCGACTTGTCACAGAAGGGGAGGCATGCGATTATGTTGGGTATGCGATATGCTCGTCTACTACCAGGTCTCATACGACAGTTGACCGACATGTCATTAAGCGTCACATGCACCCTTTTGGGCGTGTCACGAAATCCGTCACGCTGGCCGCCTGTCACGGCGCCGGTGTCGCGGCTGTGTCGGACCGGTGTCGGGCCGACAATCCGCCGTGTCTCAGACACGAGGTGATGAGCTCAAGGCGGCGCTGATCTGGTCCTGATAGCCATCTGATGAGATCACGCCGTTTGTATGTAAAACTATTCCGCCCAGCGCCGGGTTATGCTGGCTCGTACAGCCGCATCTCCAACTCATCCCATGGTGTGAGCCGGGTCCGCGACCCGCCCCCTCCGTATCTCAGCCCGACCCGACCGCCGAGCGGCCGCGGTCAGCGCTGATGATCCTCAGAGCACCCACCGCGGCCACCAATTTGTAATTGTAATACGAGCGAGCGGTGCGCGGCGCGGGAGCGGCGTGAAGCGGCGCAGAGTGGCGCACGGCGGCGAGGAGCGGCGCGGCCCTTTGTTTATCGCTGGCCGGTACTTCATTGTGGGTGATGGATGGCTGGCTGTGTACTGCTGGGGAACGGCCGGGGCACACGGGCCGCCTGTCACGCGCCGGAGCTCGGACGGCAGCGCGCATTGCATTATTCACCGGACAGCTCCGGCACACGGACGGGGGAGGGAGGGAGATCACGGACGGATCTGATGGGACGGTGAGGTCACCGGTCATCGGTCACCTGACAGCCCAACGGTCACCAAGCGGCGGTCAATGCAGTCGCTAGCTGCTGAGTATCTTCTTTACTTACAGGAATTCTCTGATCGGTCGCCCCGCCGTGTTCCGGCTCTGCATCAAATTCTTCACTCATCCTAAAATAAATACTACATTACCAATGATTCTTGGCAAAAGCCTTACGTAGCTCTTTGTTATAAAGCAAAATATGAAATTTTCGGTAGACCCAACTAAAATATTTGCTGGCGAATTTCATAACTTGCGAATTGTCGCCTCCCAGGCTTCCATAGATCAAAATGGGTCCCATCTGTCATGGGACGACTGCCACCCGTCACCTCAGATCACCTACCACTGCGACCGGCTACAGAAGCCGGGCAGGAGAGACCAATTATGGAGCTCCACTGGCGCAAGGTAACAATGCAATATGCATAGTGCCCCTCGATGCTTGTTCAGAGCATGGTTAGCGGAAGTCGTGTTACATAGATGCAACACGACTTATTAATGCATCGAATTCATTTAATTTCGACCATTCATCCTTGTCGATTCACTGGAATCGCACCTGACGCCCGGTCGCATATGTCCATTATTAATGATGTTCAATGTAAAAATTTCTGCGACCGAAGCGGCAGCATCTCAATGCGTCTCTCCCGGAAAGCCCGGCCATCTGCATAGTGTCCTCCGACATTGACGGATGCCGCTCGAAGACCGGATTTTTGTCGATCCCCGTCTCACGGCCGTGGCTGGAGATCCCGGCTCTCCGGTTGTGTACGAGCCGCTCCGTCCGGTGTGTATGCTCGACCCATACCGAGTGGCGCGCGTCCCTGAAGCGGTGGCCGCTCCGCCGGCCGGCCCACAGAGACACACGGGTGGTCTGGGCACTCTGTTCTGCTCCGCTGTCAGCAGCTCCGCCGCGGCGCGCGCTGTCGCCATCAACAGCTCGTAAAGCGGCCGTGCACCAATGGCAGCGCGACCCCGCCTCTGTCGGAGCGCTGGCTGTTTATCGACTGAACAGGGTATCCGTCATTATTGTAATCGGCTATCGACGCCTGGGCATGAGCGGCCGATGGTAATTGCTCGGTTTGCGGCGGCGGCGGCGGCGCGGCCGAGAGGCGAGGGGAGGGCCGGTGTTTTTTCATCGCGCTGTCGGCCGGTCGCTCGCAGGGCCGTCGTGCTAATTTATGCCGACGTTAATTGGGTTGGGTGCCAAAGCGCATAGGCGAATTCCGTGGCGGCGAGGTGAGAGCTGCTCTAATAGGTGTCTAAGCTGCCGGCTGACTAGCGATCCAAGAGATATACAGCGAACCCGCGAGAGGGTATGTTTGCGTGGACGTCAGGTGAACGTTTGAACAGAAAACAAAAGATAACGTCTCATGGTCATACCGCAACATGTATGGTCTACCGTAAAGCGATCATAATACGGATATCGAATAGCTACAAGAAGATGGAATAAACTCCCGACCATCAGATAACATGATGTAGGTTTTCCCGAATCGCTTGTCGGGACACCTGCCTTGTCTAGCCCCTGATTCCTCATGGGCCCGTCCCGCCGCGCCTTCCACGTCCTCCCAGCGAGGTGGCCTCTGTCAGCGGCACTAGGGGCCGCTGTCAGCGCGCTGGTTTTAGGGTTATCGTCACCGCTGTCTGCCGGCGAGTTGGCGGCACCATAACAGATGCTACTCGGTCATAGAGGCGCAGCGCTGCGGCTCCATCTGCTCCTGGCCGGAAGGGCACGGAGGTGCTGCGATGATAGCTCCTGACGCGATGATAGCTCGCTGCTGATCGTGAGCTGACCTCTAGAAGCCCCACCTCAGGTCGGGGTCACCCGGACCGCCCGGCCGCGCCCCGGGGTCGGCGGGGCGAGTGACCTTTGACCTGGCCCAGCCTCCGGCGGTGTTCCTGGAATGGTGCGCGGTGGTGCTGTTTCGGCGGAACCTGTGACGCCAGTCGGGACGGGCGCGCTGCCAGGTCCCCTCCCTCTCCCCTCCCCTGCCCCGCCCCGGGCTGTCCGAGGACGGCCAACTCTGCGCCCTCGGAGCTCTGCCCCGGGCCGATTCAGCGGTCCCAGAAGTCGCTCAGGGGTCATGGCTGACCGGGTGACCGGTGACATTTGGATGATTTTCCGAGGAACTGTGACATTTGGCAAAGTAAGGCGGGTGGCATTGGGCTTTTGAAACTGGGAATGATGTAAAGGTCTATTTCGAAATGACAGATCATGTCATGGCTTTGACATTTCCCATTTTAAGACCTTTGCTGTTTTATGAAGAGTCTGCCGCTTTGCAAAGGTCATCTCCACCCAGGTATGAAATTCATGGACTACCATGCAATATATTTAAAACTCACATCCCACTTTTTGTTACCCTGCGTTTCCGTTCCTCATTATACATTCTGCACCATAAATTGTGCAATTACTTTCGGGATAATTGTCGTGTATTTGCGTTGGTGTTGCAGCCTACAAAGATGAGGAATCGGCCATACATTTCGGACGGTAGCTAAAGCGCCCTTATTATCAACCTTCTCTGGGAACCATCATCTTTATACCCGCCCAGACCATTCATTCTGCAGGATTCATTGAACGTGAGCAGGATTCATTGAACTTGTAACAAGCACAGTTATCTCTGCGGGGGCCTCCGGGAGATGTAGCATCATCAGAATTGCGCGTGAAGTGCGTAAAAAGGCCATCACGGCGCCGGGAGCCCGACAGGGCGTCTTTGATAGTGCGGCGGGCCGCGGGGCCGCGTTATGGATGGGAGCCCGGCACGACACTCTCCAGAGCCGTCCGAAAACTTCCGGCGCACCGACCGGTCCATTCCAGCGAACCCGGCGGCGAAAACATTCGCGCTACTGTGTCGGCGCATCCCCTCCTGCGCCGACTCCCCGCGGAGACGTGACGCATGCCCTGGGGAGGAGGGGAGGGGAGGGGCACCCAGCTGGGGAGGGGTGATTCAGGGTCTACCCCTGCTCTCAGCCGGCGCAGACTGGCGCACCGCACCCGTCTTCTGTTTCAAAGCTGCGCCTCTCCGGCGGCGGGTCGGCTGGCGGTGCGCTGGCGCCACATGCTCACGGCTGGTTCCCGCTAGTGGCTCCTGTAGCCGTTCCCGTGTAAACGCTAGCCTGCTGCACGGCTCGTGGCGTCACGGTGTGTGGGCGAGTGTGCCAGGTTAGCCCGGACGTGGCTGCGTCGAGCGGTGCTGACTGCTGACCTCCAGCGCCGCTGACGCCGAGACTTGCAGCCAGGACCAACTGGCCGGTGCTCACCTCCGCTGAGCGGTCTCTCTCTCTCTCTCTCTCTCTCTCTCTCTCTCTCTCTCTCTCTCTCTCTCTCTCTCTCTCTCTCTCTCTCTCTCTCTCTCTCTCTCCCGCACGTTCCCCGTCCCCTGTCCCCTCACATTCGTCCTCGACCCCAGAGCCGGTGACGCGTCGGCGATGGACGGCGTTCCCACGCCTCAGTGCCGATGTTTATGACACTGACAAAGCGGCGCGCCCAGCCGCGGCTCAGTGTTTGTATATGTGTCGCGGTGGACAGGCGACATTGTGACACATCGATAGATGAAGACCGGATGGAGCTTGAACGCCGGATGATAGCTGCGCCACACCCTGGCTCTACGAGTGTGCCCGTGTGTTTGTCCCTGTGAAGTGGTGGATAGTCGGATATGCGGATAGCTTTGGATATGGATAACTGAGATGGCAAGATGGGTCGGGCGGGAGATCCCAACTGATCCCAAGTAAGGCCCGTATTCCTGGTGGAGGGTCGTTGTGCGGGAGATATGATCTCTTAGAGCGGCGCTGGTGACAGCTCCCGGTGTGGTCGGCTGAGCGCTGGGTGGTCTGACCCGGGTGACCGGGCCTCATCAGTGGCGGCGCCACGAATTTTTGCCAGTGGGGGCAAGCTTGAGGTGACCCGACTGTTGTCTGATACGCCAATCTGCAAAATCCATGAGCACCTTGCCCCTAGATGTTGCCATTCAAAATTATTATGGTTCTCATGTGACCTCGAAATTTATAGATCCGGGAACAGGGGGGGGGGGCAGCGGGGGCGCTTGCCCCCCCCCCCCCAACTTGAGAGCCGAGGAGGCGGCGCCCCCTCAACATTGAGGCAGCGAGAAAAGATATTTCCTCCCTTTTCCGGACTTCTTTCCTTCTCGTTTCCTTTATACATCTTAACATCAACACACGGCATGTTCCTTGC